AATATTATAAATTATTTTAACAAATAGATTTTGCTTTCCATATGTATTATTCATATTATTCATTTATTATTATTTATTGTTTGTTATTATTTATTTTTAATAAAAAATATTATAAAAATTTTTTTGCAGATCATCAAATTTGCCATAGCAGATTTCTCGTCACAGCGGATTTTTTTGGCTGGTACCATAAATCCGCTGTGATGAGGTTAGACTGTATACATATGTAAATGATGATTAGAACAATAAACAACAATAATGATTATAGTGATGTTATTAAATATTAGTTAAAATAAAAGAGAAATTTATATAACTATTGAATGATTGATAAAACCTTTGCTAGTATATTTTGTTCATAGATCTTGCTTGTCCTTAAAGCTTATTTTGATTACTCCTACACAAACAAACTATTAAATAATTGATAGAATATTTTGCAAATTGCATATTTCTTTGATTAATGCAATAGTCTATTTATTATATTTAAAATAAATGAACTTGGCTGTTCTTTGTATGTTTTTTAATAATAAAGACAATTCTCTTCCCATTCATCTGGAAAATTCACATGACAAAAGATCTGCAATACAAGGGAAATTTTTTCAAATTTTTATTTTGTTTCAATTTGTCTATTTTTGATATTAACTTTTTTGTGTGCAACGCGTCATTTTAGGGCTAAACATAGTAAATTCAGTAAACTTGTGCAACTTTGAAGCTCAAATTCTCCACAACAACATGACATATTAATATAGAAAAGCAGCCTCAGGGAAATGTCATATGACTAGTATAGAGAATTTTGTCAATCATCACATGATTATAAGTTAACAAATAAAAAAAAATTTATTATTAGCTTCACCTTGTTTTGTATACTGTTTGATATTATTATGTCTTTGCTTGAATTTTGTTAACCATCCTTCTGATTCTTTGAAGTCATTAATATCAAGAAGTTGGGCAAAGTGTATTGCCTTTTCTTTCAATATATCACCAATAATGTCTAACTCTGCACCAATAGCTTTCTCTGTCCAAATAGTTAATGCTTGATCAACTTCTTCATATATCAAGCTTCTCCTTTTTTTCTTGGTAGCATCAGAGGATTCTGGGTTAATGGAAAGCCACTTATCTTTTTCATTTAAAATATCACTAATTGTACTTGTACTAATATCAAAAGCTGTTGCTAATTCTTTATTTGTTGGGATTGGAGTTTTTTGTTTTGCCAAACAAATATCTCTTTTTATCAAAGCTGTTAAAGATTTTCTCTTATTTAATGACATTTTAAATAAATAATAAAACAGAATAGATAATAAATGAATCAATTTGATATGAATTAGGTTTGATTAATGAAAATTTAAAAATTGAATTAATACAAAAATTAGGTAAAAAAAAAGGTAAAATCTAAACACATAATTCAACACCACAATGACATGTTATAATTTATTTACATGTAAAATAATATTGACGTTATTTTAGCTTGGCAATAACATCATCAATTTTTGATTTCTTTATTAATTAACAATTAAGGGATTATTTGAAATTTGTATAGTGATCTAATATGACTATATGATTCAAGATCTGCATTTTAGTTTTGAAATCACGTGAATCCGGTATAGAGAGAGGTATTTATATTAATATAGAATGTTTTCGGGGTGCTGTCCGTTATACATTATTATTATATAAAAATTTAACTAATAAAATCCGTTATAGAAAAAGGTTTTAAATAGTAAAAAATTGGGCCAGAATTTTTTGTCCGTTATAGAGAAAAATCCGTTATAGAGAGAGTAAACTGTAGATCCGCGATTTAAAATTCATGTTTTCTCCAGAAATGTATGAAAAATTACAGAGGAAAGATGGACTTTTGCCACTGTTGGAAATTTTTAGATGTATTAAATTCAAATAACAGACTATTTTTTTTTTTTAATAGGAAGATAAAACAATTTTATCTTACATAAATATCAAAATGATGGTTTTTTGGATGAAAAGGGTTCTTTGACAACTTCTAATTCTTTGGTACAAGGAGTTTGTCTAATAATAACCAAATCAAAAGAAGAAAAAACAATAATCAAAGGGAATCGAATGATTGCCATTAGTCGATTTCGATCCTAATTTTCGATTTGAAAGTTTCGAATTAATCATTGGCTTGGAATGTGAAAATTCCAGCGTTCCAATCATTGGAATAGAAATTTCTAAAGTACTTTAAAAAAGAGTGAAAGCTGCACACTAATTCTGGCTGATAGCGGATTAAATTTAAATCCAAAAAAAAGTAACTCAAACTGAAAAAATATCACCATAGAATTCGATCATGTACGATAAAGTTTTCCTCCTGGTGTTTAAAGTTGCTAAGATATATTTGCACAACAAGTAATTGATAAAGAATGTTTACGCGATTTTATGAATAGAAAGAATTAGAAATTTTGTCACGTATAAAATAAATTGGGTCAAATTATAATGATTTTCAACGCTCCTTATTAATATTAAGCTTTAGGTCTTTCCTAGCCTCACCTAGCCCTCCATTCTAGGGCAGTAGCATGGCTTTCGCCTATTGAAGATCACGTGTAATAATATCCAATCAAATGCAATTTTTGCTTAAATGCTCAGATTTTGTTGAGTGATCTAAAATACCACACAAAGAAAGAAGGAATTATAATTTAATTGATTTTAATAATACAATATATAATTCTAATTTACAACTGCAAAAAAAAAAAAAAATTAATTTAATTAATTAAACGATAACAATAATTGAATCGTTATTCTTTAAAAAATTCAATATTTCTTTTGAAAAAACCATCTATATTTTCAACAGGACGACCAATAACTTTTTCTAAATCATCAGAAACTTCACTCTCACATGTTTTGATCCAATCCAGTAAATCTAAAAATGTGTTCATATAAATATGATTGACTGATTCTTTAATCAAAAACGAATCTTCTTCATTTTCACCATTCATTTGTTTTCGTTCAATCAAAGAATATAAATATTTTTTTAACCCATCACGAGAAATTTCTTCGTAACTGATATTCAAGTCAATCGTATTATTAAGTTTTTTGATGATTTGTTCACAAGATAAATTTTCACGTCCTGTTAATAATAAAATATTTGAATTGTTACTCGTTGATGACTGATGGTGATCTTTATGAGGTGGAGTCATAATTATTTTAAAAATGGCTTTTCCTATATCGTTCAAATCAACCAGTGCACTTTTGTGTTGTTGTGGATTCAACGTCAATTTGATTTTGCATTTATTATCGATCATGGGTTTAAAAAAAAAGAAATTTTGATAACTAAGTCCCAATCTAATATAAATATAAATATATAAACATGAAGGTAAATATAAAGTTTGATATGATGACGATGATGATGATGATATTTTATATTTCATTACCTCATTACACATAAATTTTCAATAACATGGCTTAATTTATCTTCAACATCCTTATAAGCCTTCAGAAATTTCAAATCAGAATCAGCACCAATTATTGAAATCATTCCAACATTATTAATTTTCATATTTTTAAATGCTTGAATCATTTTTTCAGCATATTGAACTCTTTTCTCGTCAGACTCTGTGTTGAAAATAACAATATCAAAATTTCCTTCAAAGGCTTCATCCAAAGTTTCCGATTTATCATAATCAATCAAACAGATTTCAGCTCCTAAATCCATCAGTTCCTCTACAAATGATTTGTTTTGATATTTTGCTACAGCACGAACTGTTGAAATACTGTCACGATGATTACAAAGTAGATAAAGTGCTATTGATTGACCAATATAATCGTCTGCTGCAGTGATTATCACTGAGGGTTTATAATTGCCATTGCTGCTTATTGGGCCTGTGAATTTGGATGCTTTGCTAGAAATTGATCGGATTGTTGATGATGACACTGATTCGTTAATTGGCGTACTTTGTGGATTTGCTGATTTGTTATTGTCGTTATTATAATTATGGTTATTGTGAAACTCATTTGTATTAGTTACTTGATTATAATCATTATTATTATCGTCATCATCGTCATCATTAATATTATTAGTTTTTTTTTTATCATCTATATTTTCTGCGCTGTAATCTCTTTTACCTATTTAAGTGTCAAAATATAAATTATTATCAAACAAATTTTATCACATCTTTTTTTCTAAAATAAAAGAAAAACTTCCTCACCAGTAATACCAGCAGTAGATGATGATGATAATTGACTTTTATTTAGGATAGATGGGGTGGTTTGTGATCTTACAGGTTTTGGTGTATTATGGGCTAATTTTGTGGTTGGGATTATAGGTTGAGATTTTGGTCGTTGTAAGGAAGTTAATTTGAGTGGTTTTTTTATCAAAAAACCTGTACTTGTAGTTGGACTTGCGGTTTTTTCTGGTGCAATATCTTGAGATTCATCAAACACAATTTCAAAAGCGTTTGAATCACCCGAAGTTTGAATATTAATTGGTAATGATGTCCTTCTTTCCGCTTTTTGTTGTTTCCTTATATTTTTGTTAAATATGACAATATCATCCTGTGCACTATTTTCACGAACTGGTTGAGTCGGACGAATTGGCTGGCGTGAAAATTTTACTGGTTGTGCTGCTTTATCTTGAATACCAAGATTCTTCTTTGCAATAAAAGGCAAACCAGCTATAAATCTAAAAATTACACAAGTTTTGGATAGTTGGTGGGAAAAAGTCTAATTAAGTGTGTTTTACAAAAAAAAAAAAAAAAAAAAAAAAAAACTTAATACACTACTCTTCAACTCTTGAATCAAATTTTAATTTATAAATTTCAAAAGATTTTTTTGAAGCTGTTCTAACAGCCGGTGTTGAATCCATTATACCTTGACAAACAATCGATTCTACATCTTCTATATAATCTTCTAAACCAGTAACATCAGTCTCTAAAATTGTTAAAGTTAATTCTGCTATACTGGTTTTTAATTGTTTGTTTTGACTTTGTATTGCTTCTTTAAACCTTGGTAAAAGACTAAACAATTTAGATTTGCGGATTATTGTTTCCAAACATTTCTGAGCTCTTGCAACGAACAATTTATTTGTACGACTACAAATTTTGAGAATGTTGGGCACAAATAATTCAGCTAATAAATCAAATTTTGGGCCTAATGCATTAGAAATTTCTTCAACAAATTCAGTTGCTGTTCCTGATAGTCTTGTTCTATCTGTGAGAATCTTGATAAAAATTCAATTCAATTCAATTCAATTCAATTCAATTCAATTCACCAACCAACCAACAAAAACCAACCAATCGACAATAATTCATACACTTACAGAATTTTGAATTGGTTGCTTTAAAGACTTGATTCCAGAAATAAATGGTTTCTCATAATCAGAGATTCCTTCACGAGTAATTTCGATCAATTGTTTGAATGCTTTATCAAATTTTTCCCAATTACTTTCGGATTCTTTTTCTTGAAATAATTCCAAAGTATTTTTTACTTCAAGTTGAAATTTTGATGCAGAACTTTTTTCATTCTTTTAAAAAAATAATGCAGTTTTTAAATGGTTTTAAAAAACATATTATATTTTAATGTAAAATTAAATAATTAAAAAGTTAAAAATTTGGAAAAATAAAAAAAGGTAATTCGGATTTAAATATACCCAAATTTTAAACCTTTTGTTTAAAAGTAAAAAAAAAATTTTTTTTTCAAAAAAAAAAAAAAAAAAAAAAGGAAAAATATTAATAAAACCCTTTTTAAGCATGTAAAAGAAAGTGATTCGAACTAGATTTTTGGCAAATTTATCATTATTAAACAAGATCGGGATTTAATTTACGGAAAATTTTGGTAATGCAATGTTTTGCCCAAACATAAATTAGATTGATTAAAATTTTATATACAATCAATCAATACCTTTCAAGTGTGCCGTGTTAAAGAGGATTCTCAATAGAATATAATAAAACAAAAATAGAAATTTTAAATTCACGTGCGTGAAATTCAATACAACAACAACAACATTTTAATCGGATTTTTTTTAAAAAAAAAAAGTTAATATTAAAGTGTAATTAACCGTAACTAGCAATTGCATCTGTGTCGTCGCCCAATTATTATTATATACCATATTAATGTTAAGTTATTTATTTACTACGTTCACATAACACATGTACAACATCATCATCAGAAAAAAAAAATAAATAATTTTTTTTTGAATGTGTGTATGTATATAATAATAATGATTTTATAAAAAAAAAAAGATAAAGACAAATGTTCATTTTATTACCGTAAAGTCTGGAAAGATAGCCCCCTACTTTAAAACAATTGAGCGTCAATATAAAAAAAATGTTACACATATGTAAAAAGGGGATGCTATCTTTCCAGACTTTACGGTATTATGAATTGTTGTTAATAGGTAATGATTTGGCAGCAATTTCTTCCAGCCGAGCATACTCCCTAACCATCAATTGATCAACCATGAACGCCTCCCTTGAAAGAGAGTTAATTCTGAGATCTTCCCATTTGGCACAACGGCTGAGAGCAACATAAGCCTGTCCAGGAGCAAATATCTGTTGGTCAAGGCAGACAGATATACTTGGCAAGGTTAACCCTTGTGTCTTGTAGACTGTTAGACCAAAAACATTCTGTATAGGGAATTGAGTTCTGCCTGCAGGGTTCGCGTTAAGCTCAAAATTAATCTTCTGCTTGGAGAGGACAGCATCAACAATGGCAGAATGAACAGAAAAGGCAACCCAAATTTGTTCATATCAACATCAACATTTGTTGTTTTTAATAAACATAAAAAAAAAAACAAAAGGTTAAGATGGCAGACTTATTTATTTCTTTCTTGTGACAAAACAATTAATCTTTATTTTTTTTTATTTTTAATAAAAAAAACAATTGATCTTTATTTTCATTATCATTGAACAATCAACCTTTATTTTTGTTATCATTAAATAAACAGTCAATCTTTATTGTTTATTATTATTAAAAAAAAAAATGAATCGGCTAATTCTTTTTTTTTATTTTTCGTGATTAGCCAAATTTTTACCTTTTGATCAGAAACCATTCACGAATTTCAATTGTTGATGGTAACAAAGATATATTTTTTTTGGATTCAGGATTTTTTAAGATGATTGGTTCTGTGTAAATAGGAGATAAGAGGCTTTCTCAAATCTTAGATTGGTTGTTTTTTTTTCTTCCCCACTATACATTATTTAGCATAGTAGAAATCTCTGAAATTAAAAGAAATTTCATTTTATCTAAAAAATGAAGACTGGACATTCTTTCTTGATATTTTCAAAATGTAAAGTCATTGTTCTCATAACAATAGTGCTAATTGAAATTTCCAAGGAGGGTTCGACTGTTTTTTAAAAAAATTTTTCTTCCAATATTTTCTAACATTAACATGCTTTTTGTACAGTCACACGATGTAAACCGGTTTTCGTAAATATGTGACACGATCAAAATAATTTTCAGAATCGCAGAACAACCCACACTATTTTTTTTATTATATTAATTAATAATTAACAACAATCTAGGGAAAAAAATTATCACCATATTATTTTATTAATCATTAATAAGCAGAAAAGAACAAAATCAATGGTTATTTACATTTTTCAAAAAAAAAAGAGAAAGTTTTTGATGATGATCATTTTGACGAATTGTGTTAACAAAAAAAAAATTTTGTTCACCACAATGTTCAGAAACAAACCTTTGCAATACGCAATTTGCAATCTGCAGTTTGCAAAATTCAAAAATTGCAATTGTATAAAATTGCAATTTGCATATTGCATAGTTTATAAAACGGACTGTAGAAGATTTCCTTTTTTGAAAAACTAATAAATAGTTGTCAAGATTTTCGAAATATTTATCATATTGGACAAAAAATGTTCTATTCCAAAATTAGAATTTTTTTTCACGCCTTTATTAATAATTGTTAAATAATAATTAATTAATTAATTACGCGAAGACCTTTTTTTTGAACGAATCACGAAATCACAATTTTTGAAATTTTGTGCGCGTGGCGCAGCATTAGGATCGAGCCAACCATAGCAATAGGATGTGAACTATTATTTATTATTACTTTTTGACGAGATTTATTAATCATACTAAAACAGTCACTATTTAAGATGAATTAATAAAAATGATAAATAAACTATTATTTTGAGACTGGGATTTATTAATCATACTTTAAAACAGATAAATGTTAAATAATGATCATTTATTTATTTTTAGATAGAATTATTGTTTATTTGTAAAGAAAATTATTATCATATAGGCGGCCCCTAAATTAGTGACCAACCATAGAACATTTCAAAACCTGGTGAGATATGTCTGCATTCATTTGTTATTTAGGAAATGCTGCTGTTGTAGTATATGCAGATATACTATATATGTTCATCTTATCTCAAATTAAAAACCCTATCTCTTTCTTTTCCTCTCAGTGCCTTACCACTAGTTTAAAATCCTATGTTTGGTTTTGGTGTTGATTCTCCACTACCTCAACAAAACAAATGATGAGTATGCAAAGAATCTTTTATACTTGGCTTTATGGATGATTTATTTAATAGTATCATTTTCACGCCTTGTTTTTTTTTTGTACTCTAATTTATATCAAAAATTAAAATAGAAACTAATAAACAGATAAAAAGAATAAAAATGCTGATAATAATAACGGTTACCTTCATAATATTAATATATTAACAACACATAAGCATTTATAAAATTATCCAAGCAGAATACCTTGTTTTCTCAAACATTCAACCTTGGGTCCCACCAGGGTTGAAATTTTTAATTTTCAACTCGATTACAACCCTAGTTGTAATCGTCAGCCACATTTCAACCCAAACCCGATTAATTCGTGAATACCCGATCCTATTTGTCCTTATTATTACTATTATTAGTTAAAATTAGCCAATGTTGATCTATATATATTTTTCGAAATCAAACAAAATCCCTATTATATATATATATATATAAAAAATATTTTATTTAAATTTAGTAGAAATTGTAAAATGCTATCAATAGACATTAATAATAACAACAACAACAACGATAATAATGGAATACTCGTAGATGGTGAGGACTCGGAAGAAGAAAATACTTTATTAGACGAATCAAATCATGCTGCTAAAAAACAATCTGCTCTTGACGCGTTAATTACAAAAATTGGAATGGGAAAATTTCAAAAACAATTATTGGTTAGTTTTAGGAAATGTTTATTAGTTATAGAATAAGATTAGTATTTATTACTATTAGCATCAACATTAGCACTAGCAATATTGTCCTTTTGATTGCTGCCAGTCACCTTATCATTACAATTTCTATCTGTGTTATTTATTTATATATAGGTGAAATAAATAATAATATAAAAGGTTTCGATTGATAATAAATGGTTTTGTGGTTTTATAGGTTTTATGTGGATTCGGCTGGCTTGCTGATAATGTTAGTGATGAGATTAATTATATTATAATCAATCATATATTTGTACGTGTATATATAAAAGTTAAAAACTAATTAATATCTAATATCATATATCAATTTTAATAGATGTGGCTACAGGTAATGTTACCTATTGACTTTTGGATCTTAATATCAAACATCATTTATTTAATAATACATTTATAATCATTATTACAAGGGTGTGGCTGTAATATTACCAAGAGTTCAGCGTAATTATAATACTTTAATAATAATATTATCGCTATTTACGAAATATATCAATTAATTAATCAATGATTATTATTTAATTTAGGTCATTATAATATATCAAATGAATATATTGGTATTTTATCTAGTTCAATATTTACAGGAATGATGTTTGGTGCCCTTTTCTGGGGGGTTCTTTCTGATTCTCACGGTCGTAAGCAAGCATTCAATTGGACCTTAGCGATCACATCATTATTTGGAGTATTTTCAAGTTTTTCGCAAAATTTCGCACAATTATGTTTTTTATTATTTTTATTGGGATTTGGTGTCGGTGGAAATATGCCAGTTGATGGTATGCAAATGTCTTTTATACTTCTAAAGGTAGGTTAATGATGACAATAATTTCTATATTTTATAATTAATTTTAGGCGCACTTTTCTTGGAATTCATACCAAAAGAACATCAGTATCTTTTAACTTTTATGTCAGTATTTTTTTCATTTGGAGCTGTCTTAACATCAGTGTTGGCATATATTGTTCTGCCTCCATACAGTTGTCCAGAAATGAAAAAGGGAGAAATAGATACTTGTGATGTGTCGATAGAAAATAATGGCTGGAGATATTTGTTGGCAACTTTAGGAACTTTGGTTAGTTTATCAAAATTTACTTCCTCCTAACGGTAATTAATTAAAATTATTCAAAATAAATTAACAAGTAATATTCTCTAATATTATTTTAGACATTTCTTATGCTTGTTGCTCGTATATTATTTTTTCGTCTTCAAGAATCACCAAAATATCTAATATCTCGTAATCGTAAACATGATGCAATATTAGTACTGCGTAAAATTGCAAGTATTAATGGCAATGATATGCAAATACAAGTTACTGATTTCCCAATAACTCCAGTAGCAAGCAATAAAGCAAGCATGGATGGATCCATTTCTCCATCATCGTTTTCTTACCCAACACGTCAACAACATCATGACGATGATCCAGAATCATTTTCAAAGTTTTTCTCTAATCCTTTAGGTTTTATAAATTCACGTCTCTCATCAAAAGTGGTAGCGGTCAAACCATTATTTTCAAGAAAATGGGTTACTACTACATTACTTGTATGGGCTATATGGACTCTGGTTTCATTTGGATATACTATGTTTAATGTTTTTCTGCCTAAATATCTTGAAAATCTAGGTTCAGATGATGAAGATACTGATGATGAAAATCGATCAATGAAAAATGTATTAAAAGATTATCTGATTTATTCAATATGTGGAATACCTGGTTCTTTGCTTGGAACGTATTTTATTGAGACAGCCCTTGGTCGTAGAGGTACAATGTCTTTGGCAACATTTGGAACTGCCTTTGCTGTGTTTATGTTTTCCATAGTCAATACACATTCTGGTGAAGTGATTTTTTCTGCAATGTTTAGTTTATTGGCAACTTTAAATTATGCTGTTATTTATGGCTACACGCCTGAAGTATTTGAGGCAAAATTAAGAGGTACTGCATGTGGCATAAGTTCTGCATTTGGGAGAATGTGAGTTATATACAATATTTATATTTATATTGATTGGTTAATCTTTTTAAAAAACAAAATTTTAAATAAATTTTAAAATTTTCTAATTTAATAGAGCTGGCGTAATTGCTCCTATAATAACAGGGATATTATTATCAATTGGCATCACAATTCCACTATATGTATCGTCATTTTTATTTTTATTATCCGGTATTTGTATGGTATTATTACCAATAGAGACTAGAGGAAGACAAGCTTAAAATATTTATATTTATAATGATAGATTTTATTTATGTATAATAAATCTATATTTATTACGTAGAATATTTTTTCCATTTTGCAATTATTAATAAATCAAATCAAACACTCGTTAAAAAAAACAATTTTTTTTTATCCAATTTTTTTAATTATATTATATTATTTATATTGTATTAATAAACTCGTTGTTTTCTTTATTATAATTTTTTATAGTTCATTTTCAAAAAAATAAAAGAAATTATTATTTTTTTTTTCAACGAAAAAAATTTAAAATAAAGAGAAATATAATGAAATTCTTCAAACAACTAATTAAGAATAATAATAGTAATAAAACCTTATTTATCATCACAAATCAAACATCAAACATCACACACATTAAGCATTATGTTCCGTATAAATAATAATAATATCTCATTTGGAGTTTATTACAGATGAGTTTTTGATATAGCTGTGTGCATGACTTTTAGTTATTCTCAACACAAATTGATTGCTTGTTTGACAACACAAAAAATTCTGTGCATGCTGTTGTAGAATGATATGCGAGATATTTTCACCTTTTCCTGAGCCTCGTATATTTTGGTTGGATGGTTATTCCCTGGCACAAAGTTGAGAAGGATCATCTCTTCAAATTTAGACTGATTGCACCATTTTCGATTCGCGGAGTTATTGATTGGAACTACCACACAGGTCAACGTTTTTAATTATAATTAATTCCACTAATAAAATGTCAGTTGAAGGAATCCTCCTCTCCAATTAATATTAATATTCAGCAAGCGAGAGCCTTTGGCTTTACATCCTTTTAAATATATTACAACCTTTCAAATAAATATATTACGAGCATGAATTTTTACCGAATAATCGTGGTGTGTTATTTCGTTGTTGATTTTACCATAAATATCACCATGTATTTTTTAAAAAACTTATGTAGGCTTTCAACTTTCAAATAGTTTACTTGCAACGACTTCCTTTCAACTTTTAAATAATCAATTTCCATAAATGTTCTGATCAAATATTTAACGAAAACATGTGCTGTACTATAATCCTGACGATTCTATGAGGCCTTTTTTTTCACGACATTCTGCACAATTTGACGTTCCAAAGCAACTATTGAATCAGTAAATCAATTTCCATTTTTGGGGTATAACATAATCACATTTCTACCCAATCAAAATAAAGAATGGGTCGATTTATTGTAACAGGGGTAGGTGGTAAGAGTTTTCGATGATAGGTAATACTGGACAACATACCTTATGGAGTGGCATTCTAAATAATTGCCTCTTTGATCATTTATTCTCAAAAATGACTTTTAGTGTACAAACTTTAAAACATCCTTGATCAAAAAAGGCAATACCTCCATCCTTGTAAATGAAATGACTTTAACACATGGTTTCATGTAAAAAGGATTGCATGTCTGGTTTCAACTGCCTTAGTAATTAGGTGTTGCAGTTTTATATGATGCAAAGGTGGTGGCTACTGGCCATCATCAAGTTACAGCCACAGAAAAAGCATTCTAGTGATTCACAGGAAGGGCCTGAAATTCTGAAGTACAATTTTCTTCAAAGTTCTGGGCATGGACCCCCTTTTTTTTAGGTATCTTTGGATGCACTTGTGATTCTTTGTCAGGTAACATTGTTTCCAAGCACTTGAACGAAGTGAAAGGATACTTTATTAAATCTGACACCAAGTTCAATACATTAGATTTAATTATTGTTTATTTTCCAACTCTGCATGATGGAATGATCAACATTTAATCAAATAAAAGCATATTAATATTGACAAAAAGGAAAAGTTGACAAAGAAAAAATTGATGAAAAAAGAGGAAACAACCATTTTCACAAAGAAATTTTTGTAATAAACTGCAATAATAATTTTTATTTAAACTTACTTTACATTTTACATTTAAAATATTCATCTTCATTTGTATTATTATATTTATCAATTTCATTACTTGTAAGACTGTTATTAATGTTAATATCATAACATTTTTGTTCTATATAATTATTTCTATCAGTTTCATCGACTTCACAATCATCATGAAAATATCTATTTTCTGAATTATGTTCATTTTCAAATTCAACAAAGATATATATCTTTTACTAAATCACTTGGATCATAATTATTATCAGAAAATTCGTAAATTGATTAGCTTTGACTATTGTGACATTTTAATGTAAAAAAAAATTTTTTATAACATCTCCTTTTCGTCACATTTCGTCACATATTAACATTTTAACAATAATTATCCGTGGAATATATCATTATAGAGATAATGCAATTTGGAATTCACATGAGGCCATTTTAATAAAGAATTGGTTCTTTTGTTGAAGCGTATAAATTGGTTAGAAGAATTTAATGATTATTCTGAAAAATTAAGTTGAACTAAACTTCCAAATATTTATATTTTATATAATAATATTATTGAATAAATAATCAAACTTTATTGTTTATTGCTATCAAAAAAAAAACGAATCAGCTAATTCTTTTTTTTTATTTTTCGCGATTAGCCAAATTTTTTCTTGCGACAAAACAATTAATCTTTATTTTTTTTTATTTTTTAATAAAAAAAAACAATTGATCTTTATTTTCGTTATCATTGAACAATCAACCTTTATTTTCGTTATCATTGAACAATCAACCTTTATTTTTGTTATCATTAAATAAACAATCAAACTTTATTGTTTATTGTTATTAAAAAAAAACGAATCAACTAATTCTTTTTTTTTATTTTTCGCGATTAGCCAAATTTTTACCTTTGATCAAAAACCATTCACGAATTTCAATTGTTGATGGTAACAAAGATAATTTTTTTTGGATTCAGGATTTTTTAAGATGATTGGTTCTGTGTAAATAGGAGATAAGAGGCTTTCTCAAATCTTAGATTGGTTGTTTTTTTTTCTTCCCCACTATACATTATTTAGCATAGTAGAAATCTCTGAAATTAAAAGAAATTTCATTTTATCTAAAAAATGAAGACTGGACATTCTTTCTTGATATTTTCAAAATGTAAAGTCATTGTTCTCATAACAATAGTGCTAATTGAAATTTCCAAGGAGGGTTCGACTGTTTTTTAAAAAAATTTTTCTTCCAATATTTTCTAACATTAACATGCTTTTTGTACAGTCACACGATGTAAACCGGTTTTCGTAAATATGTGACACGATCAAAATAATTTTCAGAATCGCAGAACAACCCACACTATTTTTTTTATTATATTAATTAATAATTAACAACAATCTAGGGAAAAAAATTATCACCATATTATTTTATTAATCATTAATAAGCAGAAAAGAACAAAATCAATGGTTATTTACATTTTTCAAAAAAAAAAGAGAAAGTTTTTGATGATGATCATTTTGACGAATTGTGTTAACAAAAAAAAAATTTTGTTCACCACAATGTTCAGAAACAAACCTTTGCAATACGCAATTTGCAATCTGCAGTTTGCAAAATTCAAAAATTGCAATTGTATAAAATTGCAATTTGCATATTGCATAGTTTATAAAACGGACTGTAGAAGATTTCCTTTTTTGAAAAACTAATAAATAGTTGTCAAGATTTTCGAAATATTTATCATATTGGACAAAAAATGTTCTATTCCAAAATTAGAATTTTTTTTCACGCCTTTATTAATAATTGTTAAATAATAATTAATTAATTAATTACGCGAAGACCTTTTTTTTGAACGAATCACGAAATCACAATTTTTGAAATTTTGTGCGCGTGGCGCAGCATTAGGATCGAGCCAACCATAGCAATAGGATGTGAACTATTATTTATTATTACTTTTTGACGAGATTTATTAATCATACTAAAACAGTCACTATTTAAGATGAATTAATAAAAATGATAAATAAACTATTATTTTGAGACTGGGATTTATTAATCATACTTTAAAACAGATAAATGTTAAATAATGATCATTTATTTATTTTTAGATAGAATTATTGTTTATTTGTAAAGAAAATTATTATCATATAGGCGGCCCCTAAATTAGTGACCAACCATAGAACATTTCAAAACCTGGTGAGATATGTCTGCATTCATTTGTTATTTAGGAAATGCTGCTGTTGTAGTATATGCAGATATACTATATATGTTCATCTTATCTCAAATTAAAAACCCTATCTCTTTCTTTTCCTCTCAGTGCCTTACCACTAGTTTAAAATCCTATGTTTGGTTTTGGTGTTGATTCTCCACTACCTCAACAAAACAAATGATGAGTATGCAAAGAATCTTTTATACTTGGCTTTATGGATGATTTATTTAATAGTATCATTTTCACGCCTTGTTTTTTTTTTGTACTCTAATTTATATCAAAAATTAAAATAGAAACTAATAAACAGATAAAAAGAATAAAAATGCTGATAATAATAACGGTTACCTTCATAATATTAATATATTAACAACACATAAGCATGTCACCTCTTCTATAATGCCATCTATGTTTTATATAAATAACAGATTTAGGTATTCCATAAAAATTTCAAAAAAGTACTTAATTGATGATTCGTCGACAAAAAAAATGCACAATCATAGTTTATATATTAATATTTTAAAAATTTTCTATCCTTATTTTTTTATTGATATGCATTTTGATTTTAAGTTCTAATATAAAAACTTCTATATAATGAAACAAGAGACTAGATCACCAAGAGTTCCCGGTATAAGGGAACCAGATGGTTGAGCCGTTAAAACATATAATAACGTTGTATTTTCTTAACTTCATGTATCTAATTATTCTAATTATCTTTAAAAAAATATGCACCTGATAAGTATCCTAGAAAAATTGTCAGTCATTGTCGTTATTCTTGTTGTTGTCTTTGATTTTGTATTTTATAATAACAATAAACTTATCTTTAACAATGGAATAATAAAGGACTAGGCTTCGTACTAATCCCGTGTATGATTATTTTCCCTTATTTTATATTTTTTTTGTTTTCTTTTTTCTTTTTTTATGGATTTATTTAGTAGCTCCAGACGAACATAGAGAGAATTGTTTAACGAATTTGTACTTAAAATCAATTCTGAAATGAACAATAATTTCGAAGTAAAGCATAAACACATATCCGCGGAAATTATTATTATACTTTAGCATACCCTTTAGCATAAATTATTATTATCATCATCATTCAAGCTCGGACAATATAAGCAAAAGCAATTTTTTTATTTATAAAATTAATGTTTACAGTCAAATCTTGTCATAGCGGATTTTTAAATTTTTCTTATTGTTATTATGTGTCCTGTTCATCCTCTGTGGCTGTAGATGATAAATATTACTCGATAACTCCAAAAAGCAACGCATTGTATCATAAAGAGAAAAAACTTTTTTTCGCATAATTAAAGACAATAAAAATACATAAATATGTTTTTAAGATTTATTTTATTTGCATGCACAAAAAAATTTTATCTACAAGATAGTACAACAATAATAATAATGTGGTGAAATAAAAGTATAGTACAATTTTTCTAACAAAGGCAGTCAATTAGCCATTTTTTCCCGTTGATTATTATAATAGTTGCTAATAATTAAATAATATAATTATTTATTTGATTACTATTACAAATCCTATAAATTTCATTCCAATTCCAATTATAAACACTGATCCATTAAGCATTATTTGAGCAAGGTATAATAAATAATGCAGATAAAGCAGGAATGAAAGGAGCGTAAGTTAAAAATGTATGATGATTTCTATTAGATATTTTGCACAGTGCAAACCTGAACATTATATTGATCAACTTTTGAGATACATCTAAGGAAATTCATTAGATTGGGATAATTCAACTTGTAATAAATTTTTCACAAAATATCTTGTTCTGCTTGAGAATTGAAAAACTTCTGATCTGGAAAAAATGACGAAAATGCTTTCATCATTTTCATAACCATCTTCAGACCAAGTTATGTACCTTTTAATGGATGGAACCATATTCTCTTTATATTTTGTTGAAGTAAAAATATAGCAATGCTTACAAGTTGTAATTTAGAGGTTACAAGATTTGATAAAAACCTATTGGCTGTTAAGAATAAGGTTTCAGGTAACAAATTAAGTTTGTAGTGAACTTCAATATTTTAGGATTGTTTCATCCTGTTAATCACATGATATAAATAGAAATCAATTATATAATTAGTTAATGAATCCCCTTCCTTCCCTTAAGAAAAATATAAATCACACACATTTGAAATTTCAAAAAAGAGTCGAGTTATAAACCCTTATTGTTTCCCTATATTTTTTACTTCAATACAGACTATTTCTTCGAAATTCTTTTTCTTTATAACTGAGCTTTTATCCTTTAGAGGATCCAATTTATAAATATTTAAATTAATTTATACAAAAGCCACTTTTCAATATATTCAATCACTTTTAGTAGCTTGCGTAATTTTTCTTTGACTTCTTGAATAAAAACTTTTGCTTGAATCTATATGCAATTATGTACAATGGATTATATTTGTTTTTGGATCATTCATTGATTAATTATCAGTAATTATTAAAAAAATTTTCTTGATTGTATAATATGTTCTCAAGTTTGAAAAATTTTTTTTACAAAAGATCTATTCATACCCAAATATTTATTTCTTCGACATGAGCTTTTTACCTTCTCTAAGGCAACCCTTTGTTCTTTGTTGCTGGTTTAAATAATTTGTTGACATTTATATGAAAAGGATATGAAAAGGTAAATCACTAAAATTTTAGATTTAATAATGTAGTATGTAATGTAAGTTCAGAATTATTAAATTAATGATTCTTGATTCTTTAAATCTTTAAAAAGTCTAGTAATAAAATAACATAGATAGATACCTCTAAGAAAACTTAAAGTGTTATGCATGCAATTATAACAAACATAATAATAATGTAATTGCTATTAGAAGCATAAAATTTTTTTAACTTCAATGACTGAAAAATTATCAAATTCAGAGTATAACTATGATGTAAAAATTCATGCTGGTAATTTTTTTTATATAATTAATTGCTGCCTGTCATGGTGCACTCGCATTACATATGGAAACCCAAGGTTTCACTAATAAATTTGTAATTTTTTTGGTTGCCAAAAATAAAATAATTTTTAAGGGACTTTTTATTCATTTTGGGATTTTTTATTTAATTATAATAATAATGAATTCAACAATATTGGAAAAGTATTTCAATGAAAATGAAAGATTTTTAAATACAGAAGAGAATAGTGATGTAAAAATTAATGTTGGTGTAGAACCAAATATTAAAGAAATCCATGCCCATTCATTCATTCTACAAGTTCATTGTCCATTCTTTAGAAATGCTTTAACCAATGCAACAAAAAAAAATGGATATTATATTATTGAAAAATCAAATATCAGTGAATCAATTTTTAAACCTATTCTAAAGTAAGTAATCACAAAATTATTATTGAATTTTTTAATCTAATATATAATTAATAATTATAATAATATTTTATTTTGCTTTAAAGGTTTTTATATACTTGTAAAATTGAATTAGACCATTTTACTGGAGTTAATATTTTGGAAATATTAATTGCAGCTGATGAACTTGGTCTTGAGTCACTTTATGAATATACAATGAATTATTTTATTGATAAACATGAAGATTATATAAAAGAAAATCCAATTAAAATTCTTAAATTAATTTATTCAAACAAAGAAACTTTTAAGGAATTTAAAAATATTTATTTGGAAAAATTTTGTAATTATAGTGAAGAGTTATTTCAGTCAAGTGAATTTGAATCACTAGAAAAACCAATTCTATTGGAAATTCTCAAAAGGGATGACCTTTCTGTTGATGAGATAGTTGTTTGGGAAAATATTATTAAATGGGGATTAGCAAGACATCCAGAAATCAATAATAATAATGTTGAAGATTGGTCATCACAAAATTTTGCAGATTTTGAAAAAACAATAAAAGAATTTATTCCTTTAATTAGATTCCGGGATATTTCTAATAAGGATTTTAGTCATAAAATTTCACCATATCTAATGCTTTTTCCTAGAGCTTCATGGAAAATTATTTTAGATTATTATTTAATTCCTGATGAACAGCCAACTTCAACTTTACTACTACCATCAAGAAATCCAATAATTGGCTCAGCAACAATTAATCCAAAACTTAAATTGCTTTTTGCAAGTTGGATTGATCGAAAAACTCCACCATATACTTCATTCAGAAATGTTAAGTACAAATTTAAACTCTTATATTGTAGTAGTAGAGATGGTTCAAATGCATCTACTTTTCATCAAAAATGTGATAATATTAAAAAAACTCTTGTAGTTGGCAAAATACAAAATTCAGATCAATTAATAGGAGGATACAATCCACTTGATTGGAATGGAAATGGGATTAATAAAAATACATCTGAAAGTTTTATATTTAATATTAGTAATAGAAAAGATATTAATACTGCACTGTTTAGTTATCCTATTAATGATAAATCAATTTATTGTAATACTGGTTGTTTGGCTGTTTTTGGTAATGGTTATCAAGATTTCTGGTTTAATCCACAAAATATTGGTGGTAATATTGGTGGTAGTGGGTCATATGCTTATAATAACATCAATATACCACATGTTAGTAAATATGATGAATTAGAGGTTTTTCAAGTAATTGATAAAAATTAAAATCAAGGCTTTAATTTTTGGTAATATTATTAAGTTATGCACAATTTTTTTCTTTTAATTTATTCTCCCAAAAAAATAAACAACAATTAAATCATTGATATAATGTTATTAACTGAATACTTTAATGATGATGTTGAAAAATAAGATAAATATGATGTGAAAATTAAATTCTTGCTCATTCATCAATTTTACAACTCATTCCTTGTATTTTAAATAATGCGATTAAACAAAATTGCATCCTTGCAAAAATAAATATCAGCGAATTGGTTTTTTAAAGAAAGCTTGTAAAACCACCTTAAGGTTCAAAAGGAATGTACCAATTTCTATCACCCAAAGCATTCAGTTTAATAAACAAAATAATAAATAAAATATTACTAAACGATACAAAATACAAACGTTTCTTTCTGCTTTTTTAAATAATTCTCTTTCCTCTCTCAAGTCTTTCCAATAATTTACGTTTTTGTCTAATTTCTAAAAATCACCATTTATTTTCAAGAAACAAAACTACAGATTTTCTAAGATTTAATAATGTCATCTGGAACCATTTAACATCTCGTGATTTTATTAAGTAAACATGGGTACGTTTCTAAGCTTCTACATCTTAATTTACATATAAATTGAACTGAACCCCATATCATGTGTATAGAAAATAAATCGTTTTGTAAATTCAAATTCAAATTTTTCTTTAATTCTTCAATATAATTTTTATATGAATCATCTCAATTCATATTTGATTTTTTCACCAACTACTTCATTGTAGCATTTTAATTTCTTATATGGTCGAACAACTACAATGTCATTATCTTCAACTCCCTCATTAACATTTGGTTATTTTATTACAATAGGAATATTATTAAATGAAGCTGGTTTTTTCTATGGCTCAAACCGGTTAGTATCACCTAATTATTGGATCGTTTCATTCAAGTCAATAAATACTATCTATGAATAAATTAACTCGATCCAATGGATCATGATTTTGATTTGTTCGGATCAATATACACCATCTAATAATACACATAAATAAATCAACCCAATGAAAATTCATTTTTTCAACAAACCTTGTTCCGTTGAAACGCGATTTTAAATCCAATTTCTTATGCGTCTCATTCTATACGTACGGGATGGGTTGTGAATAGGTACTGGGTATATATTGAATATATATATAAAAAGATAAAATTTCCAGTATCTCATTTGTAAGATATATGAATTTTAGAATAAAAAAATTTTTTCGCCGTAATTTATCATCATTTGATTTCCAAAATTAAATTAGCTAGATTATTAGAAGTGGATCCGGTAATGATGTGTGGTTGATGAGAGAAGTAATGAATCACCATGAAGAATTATTTTTCCATCTAAATATGAGCTCGAGGTTGAATAGATGGTGTCTAGATTTCATCCAGTGTAAAAAATAAAAAATAAATATTTACCGTATACGAACAACTTGAATTTATCTGAATCCATGTCTGGTAAATGTCAGCATCAAGATAATTTAAATTGCATGAATCGATTGATTCAGCTCCACCATCAGACCTATTGTATGAGAAAAAGAATTGGTCGATTTAAATACTGTTCCACAAACATATATATATTCCACCACAATGCTACTTTCTCTACAATCAATAAGTTAACACCAGTTGTTTTTGGAATGTCCCCCACTTTTGTATTTACGCACAAAGCAAATTAGCAACTCGGAAGCTGGATTTAACATAATCGCACAAACAAAAGATTGTTGATCCACCTACGCTTCAAAGAAGCCCTCACGGGAATTTTCCTGCTGTCAATCCATGGTGCTGAAATTGTTGGGTTAAATAATGAATCTTTTGAAGAACATAAATTTTATTATCAACTATCACACCAACAGTTTCATAACATGGAATGTTAGAGTCAGAAAATACATTAGTAATAATAAATATTACAAATAATTATCTTTGAAATTTAAGCTCATTAGTTATTTTTTTATCGATTTTACTGTGTAGCATTTAAGTACAGAAGTATTGATAGCAAAGTAATAAATGTATCTCGTGTATGGTTTAATTAATAATCTCCATCGCGTAATTGAGTAAAGTTTAAAGTCAGGGAAAATGTACCATGTGATAGTTAATGATATCTGTAATCTTTGAAATGAAGATTGACTCTTTTTTAATATTAATATCGTTTTAGGACTATTTGCTGCTACATAAAACAAATCTCCGTCGAATAATCCAAATTCCAATATTAACACTACATACGAATATAATTGGTCCTGAAGATACAAAACCGTTAATAATGAAATAAATAAAGGTCTTCATAATAATAATGAAATTTTGATCAGTTGCTACCGTAATTCCGTAAACATAATTGGCTGTCCGTAATTCGGATATTAATATATACAGTATATAATAATAAGATTACAGATGTAAGCCAAATCTTGTCAAGCTAATAATAACCACAACTCAATTAAATTATATAAGAGGTCAAAGATTTAAATTATTACATGTAAAAATTTTGAAGCATGTTATTACCTAAACCCGCTAAAAGAGATTGAAAAGTAGGAGTGTAGGTTTTTTAAATTTTTTTCTTTTATTTTTAACTGCTAAAGTTCTAGAAAATATGGGTGGGTACATATGATTTTATGTCAATAATCCTCAGAATTTAAGATAATTTATAATTTTTATTTAAAATTTCGGACAAAAATTTAAATGACATGGTTTGACCTTACAAAAAAAAATTGTCTATATTATTTTGTATCAAAAGTTTTTTTTTTATAGATTTTCGTGCAATATTAATATACTAATACTAATATTAATATGGCACAGTCGAATTTTATAATAATGATGTAAAGAAGAATTATTCTTTGTTAATTCTCCTCTTTAATATGTTATAATCTTTACCATACCGACTCTGATATCAAAAAATGCTACTGTCAATAGTATTAATTTAATCGTTAATTCCTTGGCTATTTGTTTTTATTATAACAAATTGCTACTCGAAGCTTCGCCCATATTATTTTATTTGTCATGCTTATATACATAGTTTTTATTCTAATAATTTTCATTTCCTGCAGTTTTAATAAATTAAATGTTAATTACATACTAGAAGAAAATAATAATCTATGCTTATCAAACGTTTAGTAACAAAAACAAAAAATTACTTCAAGAATAGAGAAATAAGAATACCGTCAAGTGTTAAGAGAGTAAGGCGTATGTGTGAGCAATTAAAGATTTAGATTAAGACCAAAACAATCGAAAGGTTTGAGCTGAGTAATAAATAGCATTTATTATCGTATTTATTTAAAGCCATAAAATTTCTTTATTTGCTAATAACAATTTTAATCAATTCACCCAACATTATAATTTAATCCAGGATATAAATATAGTCAGTATAAACCAAATAGTAATAATAATAGCTACTTTCAGTTGTAACAAAATCCTTAACTACAACTAATATTTTAATAATAATTGGTAAAGCAGTTTTGTGTGGACTTTGAGAGTTTGAAATTTTTGATGTCCGACTTTATATAATTCGTAAAGTTGATATATTTTTTATGTAACAATTGTGTTGGTTAAATTTGAAGAGCAATTATAGAAAAATTTTGATTTAGAAAAAGTTGACATCCCACTTTTGCTTATTAAACACCAGAATCATTGAAAGTTGATGGGTTTGTAACAGTTGAAGTGGTTATAGCAATATCAGGAGCAGTGGATGTGGTTATTATTGAATGCAAGCTTTTCTTTTAATGAATTGACGACTTCTATGAATATTATTTAATAGTTAAAGGTATGCCCATCCTTTTCCTAATTCAAATTCAGGATCTACGTTAAACCGCAGAAACAACAATATATAAAAGCAACATAAGTTCTAACGAATATGAATTTTATGTTGATCTGTTCAATTAATTCTTCAATTGAGTGAAAATAAACTTCAATCATCAATATTCTGTTAGCCATCCATTATTAGGTATCAAAAATAATAAGGAATTAATTTTCATACGTATTAAAGAGAATTTTTTTTAAAAGAAAAAATTAACAGCATCAAACTCTCAAAGATGTCTAGACGCTTCGGAAAATTCTTAGCAATTACAAATATTTCTAATGTTCCTTTCTCCAAGTTACTTAAGCTAGAGATTATTATGCAATATAAGTTCTAGGATGACGGGAGAGATTGTAGGAAATAATAGAAAGACCTTTTAGATGCCACTTGTTGGCCAATTTACGGCCCATAATAATAATTAATTTTTCACACAATTATGTTTATTATCCAGTTGATTAGAATAAAAATTACCAGGGAGCAAGAAAGTCAGAACTAATGTTGGTAAAATTATTCATTAAATTATGATGATCATTGCTAATCAAATCTTTTTTTTTTTTTGTAGTTTCATGTTTTCATCAATATCAAGAAATAATTTACAATTAGTTCAGGTTTGTTTATTTAATATTAATATTAATACCATTATGTATGTGTATATGTATGTATGTATCTGACTCTAGTTGTTTTTTCTTTGTATTTTATAAAAAACTCGAATAATAATAAAAAGTAGAGTTATAATTTGCAAAAAAATAAAGTGATTATTTATTATAAGCAACAGCAGCTGTACTATTTCAAAAAGTATTCAAAAATGTCTTCATCGATTAAAGAAGAACTTAAAAATAGTAATAGTAAAGATGATGATGACAATATCAAATTTATTGTTAATAATGATGAAGATGTAGTATTAGTAAATTTAGACGATTTAAAATCTACTGAACAAATTGGTAGTGGTAGTACATCAAACAACAACAATAACAATAGTAACAACATATCAAATGAAGATAGGGGGACAGTTAGTACTAGTGATAGTGGTAGTGGTGTTGGTGTTGGTAGTAGTAGTAATAATAATATTACAGCAATTATTGATGGTGAATCAATTGGGACAACACAATTTAGACTAATGGTTAGAAATATACCAAAATACACATCAGTAAAAATTCTTAAAAATTTAATGCAAGAAAATGGTTTTGGTGATATAAAAGTTCAAAAATCACCAACTTGGGATTATTTCTTTGCATCATTTAAGGTTTTTATTCATTAAATTATAATGATGGCTATTATTATCATTATCATTATTATAACTTTTTGACTATAGACAAAAGAAAGACAAATTGAAGCTCTTAACACATTGAATGGATTAAAATTTAAAAATAAAAAATTACTTGCACGAATTGATGATATCACTGAACAAGTAAGTAGGTTTTTTGATTCACTCTTGCTGATTCACATTAATTCACACACTCTCTTTTGATTGCATCAACTCATTCTCATCCATTATATAGGATCGACAGGCTAAGTTTGAAAGAAGGAATAAACAAAAACAAAAGAATCTTCTGGATCAAGATGGAATACAACAACGTTCACCGGAAGAATTACTTGCAGATCAAGTCACACCTTGGCATAAGTATATTTCTTTCTTTCTTTCTTTCTTTTTTTAATTCATTATCATCATTATTATTTAAATTTATTTAATAATTACTACTCTTGTTCTTTTGGTAAGAATTCCATATGAGATTCAATTAGAAAATAAACAAAATGATATTAGGAAATTTATTATAAACTTACGACAAAAGATTAGCAACATTGAAAAAGATTACTACAATGATAATTTGCCAGAGTGGCTTTCTGTAGAGTGATTAATGATAATTTATTAATTTTGTGTTATTTTTTTATAAATATTATAAAATTATTTATATAAATTTTTTTTTAATTGTGGCGATGATAAGATCAGAATTAAGTAATTTCTGTGATTTCTTGCCAATTCTTCGATCTCCAATAACAGAAGGTTATAGAAATAAATGTGAATTTACTATTGGATTAAATCTTGATAAAGAAAAAACTGTTGGATTTTTATTGGGAGCATATAAAGATGGACTGGTTTCAGTTTTGGTAATTAATTATTATTGGTGGTGATAATTATGATAAATGTAAAAAAAAGTTTTTATATGTAATTATAATACTTTTTTTAGGAACCTAATAAAACAATTCACGTTAGTGATGTAGCAAAAAAATTAGCAAAAGGAATGCAAGTATGTAATTAGTAAATAAATGAGCTTACTAAATCAACAAAAAAACAATAATAATTGATTTCTATTAATCATTTAGGATTATGTTCGTAATTCACAATATGATATATATGATCGTAGGACTAAGCAAGGTGAGGTGATAACTATTAGTATTTACTATTTATTCATTTGAAGGAGTTGTTAGTCATGATTTCCTATTATTTAAATATTTGTTTATTAGGTAATTGGAGGCTATTGGTTGTGAGGTCTCAAATGTCTGGAGATGGTAAGAATTGATTTTTAAAGAAAAATTGAAATATTAAAAATATCAAAATTATAATATAATTCTTTTTTTTATCTTACACACACACGTACACATGTATAATAATGTATATATAGTGATGATTATAGTTCAACTGCATCCACAAAATTTAACCGAAGAACAACTTGGTCAAGAAAAAATCAAATTAACAAATTATTTCCAAGCATTTTCCAAAAATGAAAATTTTAATTTGACTTGTTTATTAATTCAATTGTTTGATGGAGTTAGTAATGGAATGTCTGATAAAGTTCCATATGAACTTTTATACGGAACATCATATATTCACGAAGAGATGATGAATTGTAGGTTAGTGTAAAAGAAATGATATTAGAGGAAAAGATGATAATGATTTGAAGATAAGAAGGGGAAAAGGATTTTTAAACAAATTAAAAAATATATATACATATTTATTTATTTAGATTTCGTGTTTCTCCATTGGCATTTTTTCAAACAAATACAGCAGCAGCAGAAGTTTTATATAATCAATGTAGTATTTTTATTGATGAATTAATTCCATCATCATCTTCTTCAACAACAACAACGGCATTATTATCAGAAACATCAACAACAACATCTTCTACATCATCATCAGATCCACCAATGTTGGTGGATATGTGTTGTGGTACAGGGACAATAGGTATAGCATTATCAAAGAAATTAGGAAATAAAATTAAAGGTGTTATTGGAATTGAACTTTCTACAGAAGCAATTGAAGATGCAAAGATTAACTCCATTTTAAATGGTATGCAGGAATTTATTTAATCAAATAATTTAATTAATTATTGGTTTGATTGGCTACTATTGCTAATATGCCAGCATCCTTAATGTTATTATTAAAGGTATTGAAAATGCTGAATATATTGTTGGTCCAGTTGAAAATAATCTACGCACTTTAAATAATTTTAACAACTCTCGACCAGGATCACTTATTGCAATTTTGGATCCACCTCGGTAAAAATTATAATAAATAACAATTTATTTTATTGCTCACAATTAATTAATTAATTATTATTTTCAAATTATTTTATTATGAAATATAGTGCTGGAGTTCATAAAAGTGTCATCAAAGCAATACGACAGTGTCAAGCAATTTCTAATTTCATCTACATATCATGTGACTACAATTTGGCGACGCAAAATTTTATAGAGTAAATTATCTTTTAAAAAAAATTTATTATGAAAAATAATTATATTTAATTATTTTTAATATTATTTTTTTATTTATTTTTTTAGTATTTGCCGGCATCCCTCTTCTTCATTTCCAGGAATACCATTTAAACCAATTAAAGCAATTGCGGTCGATTTATTTCCACATTCTAAGCACGTTGAATTAATTATTTTATTCGAGAGAATTGGAAATTTTGTTTATCAAAAAAAAAGAAAAGAAATTGAATGATCGACTCATTCTTAAATGTTGAGAAAATAAAAAAAAAATTTTTTTTTTTTTTTTAAGACGCGAACTTCTTCTAAAAAGTCACATGACCAATTTTCAGATCTAAATTGCGTATATATTAGTGCTGGTTATTAGCATTATATTTTTACATCATACGCTTAGTAATTATTATTTAATCTCTTCATTTTAGGAGGCTTCCTTTTTATCATAATTTTATAATAGTGAAGTCATAATGATGTATTATTTATCTAATAAATATTGATGTTTTTTTCTTATATATATATCGAAAAAATATTTTTTTAACGAAGTAAAAAAAAAAAAAAAAAAAAAGACATAATTACATTTATAAATAATAAATAATAAAATAATCAACAAATAATGTCGAAAGAAAATAACAACGATTATTCAACCGACGAAGGAGTTGTTAAAGATGAACTTTATGAACGTGTTGTGGAACATGGAGATGAAGAATACGATCCTAAACAAGACATTGTTGAACAAGACATTGAAGAACCAGAAGTTGAAGGACAAGACGTTGAAGAACAAGAAGTTGAAGAACAAGACGTTGAAGAAGATGAAGAAATGGGTAATTATCAAATATATTAATAGCAGTTTTAAAAACAAAAAATAATCGTTACATTTTTTATATATTTATAAAATAAAAGACCTCAATCCAGATAAAAATTTGTCACCACCAACTTTACGACCTACAACTTACGCTGTAGGACAAACCGAAGGATATTATTCAGAGGATACAAATGAACTTGGAGGCGGACCTGAATTGATTGCCGAAGCTAATGATCGGGATGATAAAGATGAATCAAGACAATTGTATATTATGATTGATTGGTTAAATTTTTTTGCACAAAATGTAAATCAAGATCTCTCATCATTTTTTAATTATTTAATATTTAATTAGAACTTCTTTAGTTGCAGCATCCCATCGAAAGGATAGACCACCTGAAGCTAAACGTGAAAGTGCAATTAAGG